GTGCTTAATTCAAAAAATGCACTTAATTTAGGAAAAATTGACTGACTTAGATTTTAATTTTTTGCAGCCTATGTGCATCCACAAGGTGAAAACAAAACTTTAATTTGTGTTTTCCTCCCACAGGAGTTCCTCTCCCTTAGGACCGTAGAGACTCTGTTTTGTGTTTCCTTCCACAGCGGCACTGATTGCCGCCCCTTCCTGGCAGCGGGCTGACACTCCACGGAGCCCCCCTGTCATTTTCCCATCCACATCATCCTTTCTCTTGCTGACTGCTCTCAGCGTCGTGTTTTCTGTCAGTGCTTTCGCTGTCGACCTCCTTCAGATTCTCCTCCTCTACAGGTCATTCTCCTCTGATTGCCAAGCCTCCACCTGCTTGGATAAACTCTTTCTCTAAGCTTCCTGCACACTTATTGGAGCCCCATGAGAGTGTGGCTAAGAGGAAGATATAACAGCACTCCAAAGATAAACTGCAGCGGTCCTTAAGAGGATAGCCTCTCCTGCTTTCTTATATCCCCACACCTCGTTCTACCTCGTCATCTCAAAAGGTTGCTAAGCATCTCTTCACTGTATCAAAGCACAAGGAGCCCTTATGCAAAGAACGGATTGTAGGAGAGAGCATGACGGAAGAGGGGAAGATAAAAAGAGAGTTAAAAGCGCTGATAGTGGGTGGTTAAGGGGGGGGAGGGGGCTTCAGGTCTGCACAAACCCCCATTCATCTTGTCTGCCCCTTGTCTTCCACAGAGCAGGGAGATGGATTAGCCAAGCTGGTGCAAAGGGAAATTTGGAGAGAGAGAAAGAAGCAGATAAATTCCAGCTGCTGATTCTGCTGGAGATTTAAAGTCCGACATTTTTCTCCAATCTAAACATGTAAACATGCTTCCTGGAAACATATATGCAGAATGTCGATTCTGCATAGATAGGACTGGTTATGCAAGCACAATGCCTCCGTGTTAAAGAAGCATGTTTTGTTTTTGTGGAAGTGAAGGTGGAGGACTGATGTGACTTTCAGGTCTGCTCACTGCAAAAAAATAAAATCTAAATAAGTCTTTTTTTTTCTCTTAAAATAAGTGAATTTTTCCTGGAATTGAGGAAAAAAGTGCCAGTGGAATACAACAATTTACATTTAAAATAAGAAAAAAACAATTGCATTGTCTTATTTCAAGTGCATATTGTCTAATTACCTTATTTTAAGAGTAAAAATACAAATTCAAATATCAAACTATATAATTTACCTACTTAGATCAGTGGCGCAGTGGGTGGCACCGCTGTCTTGCAGCAAGAAGGTTCTGGGTTCAATTCGCGGCCTGGGGTCTTTCTGCAAGGAGTTTGCATGTTCTCCCTGAGCATGCGTGGGTTCTCTCCGGGTTCTCTCCTCCCACAGGCCAAAAACATGACTGTTAGGTTGATTGGCTTCTCTAGATTGTCCGTAGGTGTGAGTGTGTGCGTGAATGGTTGTTTGTCTCTTTGTTGCTCTGCGATGGACTGGCGACCTGTCCAGGGTGGACCCCGCCTCTCGCCCATTGACTGTTGGAGATAGGCAACCTATCGCGACCCCACTCGGGACAAGCGTGTCAGATAATGGATGGATACTTATTTCGAGCTTGCTGTGTTCTCAAAATAAGTGTATTTTGTTAATTGAGAAACTTTGCCAAGAACAATAAAATAAGAAAAATCAGTCGCATCGTCTTATTTAAAGAGTATTTCATCTGATTATCTTATTATTTTAAGAGTAAAAATACTAAAATGGTCAAATTAAGGGTAAATATGCTTAATTTAGGGAAATCTTTACTTCCTTCTGGATCGTTTTTGCATTAGGATTGAAAAAATAGAAACAGTAGCAGCAACTAGAAAATGATGAATGAGGCCCGGCAGTTTCACGCCATCAAAAGCAGAGATTTATTATGCATCTTTCAATTATTATAACACTTGTTCCACGTATATATCATACATGGTACGTTACATGTCGCTGTATTTCAGGCATTCCATATGGAGCGGATGGTTGACTTCATGTGCCAGGAGAGTTTAGCTCTACAAAAAGATCTCAAGATGGTGTTCTGATTATATGATTGACTTGAATAAATCACTATTCAATCCAGGATAAAAGTAAGTATAAATACTTTGTTACCTTTTGCATCATTTCATAGGCATTATGCTTCGTTATGCATAAGTCAGGCAGTCGTTGGACATAAGTTCTGGTCTCGTTATGAACACTTTCTTGCAATAATTGCATTTTTTCTTGAATTGAGGAGGTAATTGAGACACGTTGCCAATGGAACAAGACAATTTACATTTAAAATAAGAAAAAACAATTGCATTGTCTTATTTCAAGTGCATATTATCTAATTATCTTATTTTAAGACTAAAAATACTTATTCCATTGGCAAATTATCCTATTTACTTACTCAAATTAATGGTAAATACACCTAATTTAAGGAATTTTTTCTCATTTTT